AGAGTTATTTTAGAACATCAAGTTAAACTAAATGAAAATGAGTAATGTTGCCTTGGAAACTAGCTAAAATAAACTGAAGACCTAAGTCTTCTGCTTCACAGAAAAAAAAGACAAGTAGTCTCACAGGGGTCTCATCTAAAAACTTGCAGCTTACGCTAAGCAAGAACAATCTCTGTGCAATAAACATTTCCTCTGAGTGTAAATAACAATTATTAGTTATACATGGAAAGCTATGAGCTAATGTTCACAATCTAACGCCGTATGAATTAAACACATCTGGAAGGGAAATGAAACCAAGTATATTATGGGATGATTCGCAGTGGGTGGATTTGATTTAGAGACTGATTACAACCCCATTTATAGCTTTCACCTGTGTCTGTCACATAATTATTTCTCCATTGAAATCACTGTTCGGCAACAGATGCTAATCTGATGTTTTCTTTATGAAGTGAGACACAGTCTGGGAACTATTCATTTGAGATCACTTTGTATTTTCCTTTCCTCACCTGAAGGGAAATCGCTAACAACTTCAGCAGAGATTGTTATGGGATATTTATCAAGTGAGAATCTTCCCTTGATTGGACTCTCATGGCCAAATTTTGTTTTTGAGAAGCATTGATTGGTCTGGTCACATAGAAAACTACTTTTGCTAGAATTGATGCGCCTGTTTTGGATTAGCATTGGAAAGAGAAGCAGTCCACAGTTACACACTGGTTTTGAATAAAATCCAAGCACATAGTCCTTTTCAAAGAATGTGAGTCTATGACAGATTAGAGAGCTCTATGTACAAACCACAGCGCTGCGTCACATTGTAAATGAGACAAAACGTACCCAAAATCATCAACACATGGGTGCAGTTTTTCCCACCGCTAGCATGTGGAAAACTGATGTTCACATCTAATAACACTTCTGATCAAAGATCACTTTCAAGAGGTTACCTTATAAAGTCTTTTGGTCCGACACCACTACATGTGTCTCTGACATAAATAAATGTTGCCATAGTAACTGTGCTCTCATTACTTCATTCTGAAATGTACAACCCTGAATTTCTCAACATCTAACTAAAATGTGCAGAATCTGCTCATCATCTTATACATCATGTTTGGTGTACTAAATATGTCATTTATTTTGACAGAGAGAGAGAACGAGATATTCAGAAAAACAGACAGACAGACAGACAGATAGACAGATAGACAGATAGATAGAGATAGACAGATAGACAGATAGACAGATAGACAGATAGACAGATAGACAGATAGATAGATAGATAGATAGATAGATAGATAGATAGATAGATAGATAGATAGATAGATAGATAGATAGATAGATAGATAGATAGACCGACAGACGATCGATCAATAGATAGATAGATCATTTTTCATTCAAAACTCTACTGCTTCTTAAATGGCAAATCACATCAGGAAAAAGTAGGAGTTTATTTCCAAGACATTTGGGATATCAGTTATTACATTTAATACTCTGAACTTTGCTCCAGAGGAAGATTTCTGCCAAGTAAAACATGACTCTGTACCTAGCACCAACAAAATGGTTTAAGAGCGTACAGATATAAAATCCAAGGAATAATTTATGGATTTTACCCTTTTGTCTGCATTTTCTTTTCTTTAATATGGTTAAGATGAAGTATTTAAACGGGTTAAAAAAGCAGTTTAGGCACTGAACTATGCTTTCAGTACTTGCTTAATTAATTCTAAAATTGAATTGAATGAAGTAACATGTGAATTGTTTTAGAACATTTCTCTGTTGGTTCAGAATTCAAAGATCTTTCTCAAGTTTCATTACAACCCTTTTTACATTTCCCCTGCTGAAACCTTACAGATAAGAGCAGAAAAGTCTGTTCACAGTCTAAAGGTAATGGATCTTGATTGATCAGAGACAGAAGAAAATGGGACACACAGTCAGTCAATGTGTCTTACACCTCAAAGGTCTCAGCTGTTCCTACTGATGAAGTAAAAACCAGGTGAGCTTTGACCTTACATGAAGCACAGTCTCTGTTCAACATCTGCTCTGAGAACACCTTGTGAGTCTTTTGGAGTGTGAACGTTCCATAGAGAAACATCCCACATCAGGCAGCTTGTAAATACCCCCAAACTGACTTCCTGTTTGGGGAAATTAAGAATTTTAACAGGACCACCACAGTATGCAAGAGGTTTCATTATAGTCCATATAAAGTGTGGAGAAATGCTTATAAATGCAGGGAAATGCTAAATTAATCTTGAGTGTAGAATGACTTGAGAAATTCAGCCATGTATATATATATATATATATATATATATATATATATATACACATACATATATATATATATATATATACATACATGTATATATATATATACACACACACACACACACACACACACATATACACACACACATATATATATGAAGAGTTCAGATGCAAAACCCTCTAAATCCGTCAGACTTATTTTCTTTAAATGAGCATTTTTTATCAGGCTCCTATGTTCACGTCCAGTAGTTTCATTTTAAAGGTACTGATAAGGTTATTAGTCATTGAATAAAATAACTTTTTTTCAAAAATGTCACTTGAGTCAATTCAGTGATTTTTAACAAATTAGATTTTCTTTTGCGTCAAAAACAGCTAAATCCACTTGTGCTTTTTTCGCAAAAACCTCTAAATCCACCTCTTTGGGACAAGACATAGTAAATAGCTGAAAAATCAATACAAATGTAACTAGAAACACTGAAAAAGATTAGAGCACATTCATTTCAAAACTAAACAGTAAACACACCTCTTTACAGGGGGGCTGAATGAGATCTGCGATTATTTGCAAATCCCACCCCATTTCTCTGCAGTCACCTTTCTGCCCTGTCTGAATAAAGACAAAAGCCCCCCCGATTCACACAGTACAACCACATTGGCAAAAAGAATTGGCGATTAAAATAGTTTAATAGTTTTAGTTTGTATAATCAAGTAGAACAGAGCAACATTCTTAAACATCAATATCTGTGCATTTTGTATAAGAAGCTTATAAGACTTAAATAATGTAAAGTAATATTATAATGTATATCTCAAGTATAATAAATCAAATTCCTTCAAAGTTACAGCACTGCACCAAGAACTGTTATGAGTGCATGCTACACTTGCGACCAAGCTATTTTCACTGTAAAGTTACCGATTTTCTTTTGCCTTGTAAATTAACGGGAAGAGTTTTGAGGTAGATAAACGACGTTCTCTTCTGCCTTTTGATGTCAGTAGGACAGGCTCCTCCATTTCATCGTACTCCATCTTAAAAATGTAAAAAATCTGAATCCAAAAACAAAACAATCTCCTCAGCCGTCTCAAAAAATCCGTCTCCTCAGCGCACCGCTCTATTGAAACAGCCTGTACTGATTCGCGCGGCTCGCGCCTTCTGATTGGTTCTCGGGATGTAGTGGCTTTTGCTGCCAAAGGGAAGTGGCGTCTAGAGGCTTTTGCCGACAAACTGATATTTCTGAATGGGCTGAGGCTGAGATTTCGAGGATTTGAAGCAAATATATTTGTTGAACGTGTACTGTGTTCAGATAGCTTTCACTCAATGTCATTATCTCATTTTTGACGGAGGTGGCGTTTAGAGGCTTTTGCATCTGAACTCTTCATATATATATATATATTAGTGCTGTCAAACGATTAAAATATTTAATCGCGATTAATCGCATTAATGTCATAGTTAACTCGCGATTAATCACACGTTTTTATCTATTCTAAATGTCTCTTGATTTCTTTTAGTCCCATTATTTTTTCTCATTTTAATGCTCTTATCAACATGGAAAAGTGGATCGGCTTGCTTTGTGTAAATGTTTTTTATTGAAAACAATATACTGTGTTCAAATTCACTAACATTCTCACTTGGAGCAAATAATCTCTCACACAATGTGATACTGTCCATCAATAAAAGGGTGAAAGAAATACTGACGAGGTCCTAATATTGACGAGGGGGCGGAGAATTCGCATCAGCTGTGTGTGTGTGTGTGTGTGTGTGTGCTTGGCCATCAAGTGGTATTTCAGACTGGACGTGCTGCGATGATGATAGCTCAGTTCACAACGACAAAACACACAGATCACTTTGGTCTCAATGGAACCATTTGGCAACTTTTTAAAAGTAAACTTTCCATTCAGAATCTTATCGGCGTCTCGCACTCGTCATCCACTCAAAACGTAACGTTAACCAACTATTTGGCCGGCTCGCAGACCCAAACAAGTGTGTGCGGCGTGCCTATTGTTTTGTTTCCGGTCTAGCTAGATCCGCTTGCGCTTTGGTCGATGAAGCAACAAAACGTCCTCGCGCGGCACAAGCCATTGAAATGAATGGCGCGTCCTGTTGCAAAAGCATGTGAATAAAACTACAAAGTTTGCTAAGCCAAAAAGACCGTTAATCGCGTGATAAAAAAATTGATGCCGTTAAAATGAGTTTGCGTTAACGCCGTTAATAACGCGTTTAACTGACAGCCCTAATATATATATATATATATATATATACATATCTTAATTATTATAATAATTGTTTTCCTTAATTTTGAAGGCTTTAATAAACAAGACAGAAATAAAGGAAATATACAAGACACTGTCAGTATGAATCCCTGCATCACCAAGAGATGCACAGGTCAATCACTGTTATTATTACTTTTTATAAACCAACTGCAACGTAAAACCAAGAAAGAAGTCCATAATCTCATTTAAAAGTCTCCATGTCCCATGTCTCTCTTCCTATCATTTTGATTTTGCTACCCATCATTCTAGCCTAGATCATAACCTAGATATATCCATGCCCAATTAGGACCTGATCAACGTGACATCACTGAACTCCAGACAACAGTTGCAGCTGGTAGTCGACCGTCCGGAAATAGACAGACAGGGAGAAGTGAATAACAGGGGTTGTGAATTTGGGTGGGGGATCATGCTTTCAGATCCCTTTGTGCCAAGGGGAGGAGAGAAGTGGAGAGGGGGTGGACCAACCCCAAATCCACTGCCTGTTGGAAATGAAGAGAGGGACAGAGAGAGAGAGAGAGAGAGGAGTAGAATAAGTTAGTGCAACAGAGGTGATGGACTTAGTCCAGTAAGACTGACAGGGAACACACAAACTCCTCCTGAGGGCTGAGAAGAACATGCTGGTGGACTTTTCTTGCTTTTCAATACCACAAATTCACAGAGGCACCTACATCTACAGCACCTAACAGAGATATCTGCTGATCTTCTGAGGTCTTCAAAGCCCACTCCTCTCAAGCTCCTTAAAATACTTGAGAATTTTTAAACCGTGATAATTTTTAGAGTAAAATTCAAAGACTTGCTATCTTAAAAGTCAGAATTTTCCTCTTTGTTTAATAGGGTTTTACCACTTCTCTTTGAGAAGAGTTCTTGAAGAGGTACTTGTCAGAGTTCTTGAGCAAGGATTCGCAGGATTTGCGTCGCCAGACAAACAGAGGTGTTTAATTGAGGGCTTTAAAACTGAAGACCTTTCCACTGACACCAAGGACATACTAACAAAGAGAGACAGTGGGGGATTACGACAGACAGAGAGAAAGAGAAAGAGAGAGAGAGAGTGAGTGGGAGAAGAGAGAGGAAAACCCCACAGAGCAATCTCCACAAGTTGTGATGACTATTTCCACAGAGGCACTTTGCACGGTTTCTCCTGGACACTGACGGATTTCAAGAAGGTGCTGTGCAATAGACTGGAATCAACTGGTAAGGTTAAGGTGAGCCCAGAGGCTCCGCTTGCTCTCTAAACATGTGTAATTGCATCCGTCTCTCTACAATGCTTGTGCTAATCTGGGAATGAACTTTTAAACACCTGTTTATGTTTGGCTGAGAGCTTGCGTCAACTTTTTGTAACACACTGAGTTCTATGTGCTTTGGTAATAGTTTTTAAGCTTCGCCCTCCCACTCCGATCCTGTCATGGGATGAATGGATAAGGTCTGTCGCCCTGGGCGACATCTCTTTCTGATGGTTTAAGTGGAGGGTTAATCTTTGACGGGCTGAAAGAAAGTTCTATGGGGTCGTTGAGGACAATATAAGTGAGAAATTTAGGGATGGTGTTTTAGCGGTTCATTTGTCATAAACACACAATGGCTGTTACCAGCAAGGGACCCCGGACGCAATTTAAGACAACAAAGTGGCTGCGTCAATAATGACGTCTGTGAGCATTCAGATCAAAAAGAGTCGTTTCCCACGTGTTGAAAGACAGTCTAGACAAGTAGTCTATGAATACACTGAGGTGTGAATGACGGAAAAGGAATAACTAAAGTGGTTTAAAACAGCATGACAAGAAATGCGATGGGGGAGTGTTGTACACAATATATCTTTCAGTTTTATGAATTTTAATTATAAGTTTTGGAATTAGAGAAAGGAAAAGAACAGGGATGCAAGGCAGGGATGGAGGGAGGTAGAGTAAGCTACACATCCCAAAATGTTTGGAAGGGACAGGATGCAGGAGAGTTGACTGTGGATGTGTCTCTTTGTTTTATTCCCCAGGAAGCTTTTTTCCATCTGTAGGGATCAGAACGGAGGCAGACTTCTCAATCAGGCTTTGTTCAGCCATGGTTCTGTTTGAATAGGAGAGAGCTTACGAGTTTTCAAAATCAGAGTATCTCTAGTACTCTCTTTATGGACGGGCATGCCATGGCAACAAAATACACAAAGCTCATAATTGCAACTGTATACAAAGCACTCGGGATTGTTTATACAATGGTCTAGACCCAGGGTTTTCAACTAGGGGTCCCTGAAGGTACTCCAGGGGGTTCGCAGAAAGGATAACAAGTAGATTTTGAATATATTAATGAAAATGTTTTAAATCAAAGTGATTAAAAGTCTTAACAAAATCTATCTGTATTTTTCATACTGGGGGTCCGTCTGGGTGCAGGGACCCTGGGACTGTAAAGCTTGGAAAATCCTGGTTTAGTAACCTGACCTCATTATCTCATAAATATTAATATTTGCAGGTATTCGTACACAATTTTAGTACTATATTAATACATGTAAGAACTATTAAAAATACGCTGAAAAGTATAATATGGATGCATGTCTTTACATATGCAAAAATGTTTATTTTTATTTAATTTGTACTATTCATATATTTGTAACATAATCTCACCGATTTAATACAATAAAATTCATTTAATTCCAGTAATTTAATATTCTATGAACCTAAAAGGATTCGTAAATATTTGTACATCCCTAAATTGTTTAAATGCTTGTTTTAAAGTTGTAAATTGCTTGTATTAAATGCTGCCAAATACATTAATAATGTAGAGTATTATTCAAAAGTTTGGATTCAGTAAGTTTTTTTTAAATACATTTATTCAGCAAGGATCAGACATTTATAATGTTACATGTGTTTTCTATTTAAAATAAATTATTACTGAAATAGAATTTGAAATGTTAATTTGTTAATTACAACTCAAATTCAGTTTGCTGCTCACACAAAGGGTTCAGAAGACTTGAAATTTGTATGGTACTTTTATGGCAGCTTGACAATTTCAGTCATCAATTACTTATTATGTGGGAAAGGGCAACTTCAACATTCTGCTAAACTTCAGAATCGACATAATTTTGTGTTCTACTATACAATGACATTGGGTGAACTATCCCTTTAAATAGAACATGACACTGTAGAACATTTACACATGACACACAAAAAAAGGTCCATTGTTAAATGTGCAAAGGGCCTGTCTTTAGTCTCATTAGTCTGTGTGCTCTGCTAGCCTACATAGATATAACTTCACAGTCAGAGCTAATTTGTGAGAGGCACACAGGCACAAGTGTGAGGTGAGGACTTCATCAGCCTCTGTCTTTGTGTGTGTGGCAGCTTGGCTCACTCTAATGAGGAGGGGCGGAATTCAAGGAATTCCACGCTAAGGTTGAAATGAGAAGGGCAGGCGAGAGAACAAGGGGATGATGGAGCGATAGGGAAAGACTGAAAGAAGACATCAAGCAGTTGTGTCCCCTTACTCCCTAATCAATGACTCAAACACTGCTATTGTGCAACAGAAAGTCAGACCTAACAAGAGTAATACCAGTTAATGTAAATGACTGCACACTGCACTAATGTTATTGGTTATGATCAGTCCTTTTCAATTCATGAGTTTGACTTGGCCATAACTGGGCAATTTCAGAAAAAAAATTAGTTTAACAGTTAATTAGTTGATTAATTATCATAGTTGGTTAATAATTTTAAGCATTAATATTAATAACAAATTATCAAATTTATTATCAAATTAACAAATTATTATTTTAAGTATAAGTTTGACTAAATATTCCTTTTTATTTCTTTATCCTTTATAAGGCGTATGTGGAATAGTTCAATAGCAGTTCAGACATGCTGTAGCTTGTAAGTCATGCCACATCTGTAATGGAACACTGGACGAGGTAAACTTCACTTTGGCCTGTCGGGACACTTCTCAAGGTGCGTGTCAGAAGGACAGACTCTGGAGGATTTTATTCCCACCAAGGGAGTAATGACAGCTCTCTGGATGAGGCAGATGTGCTTTCTCTTGCCCTGCTGCTCACACAGACATTGCACCACAGAGGAAAGCATTTCCGCTGTCTCTTTGTGCTGGTTGGGGAGTCCTAGCTCTTAGACTTGGGGTCTCCATTGAATTTCTTTATCACACACTCTTAAATGTCTTATGTTCCACTCAAAGAAACCACAGGTATTCCCCTTCCTAGACACACACACACGAGCACAGAAACATAGGCACATGCTCACACACCACAGTGAAACCACATACCGCCCGCAGCCTTAACTCACACGAGACGTTGCCTGTTGTAATGCCCCGCTGTCCGACACTCTGTCAGTATATCCAACAAGTCGCAAGTCCAACCTATCATTATTGGTCTGTTACAGCGGCACAAGGGGGTTCCTTAGCCTCTCATGAAATACACTCTCTAGTGGAAACCATCATTATTTTTTCCGTTTAGGAAACCATTTTCTTTTTCACTTGAGAGAGATTCACTACAGTTCAAAAGTTTGGGGCCAACAACATTTTATAAAATGAAAGAAGTCTCTTATGCTTACCAAGGCTGCATTCATTTTAATGGAAAAATACAGCAAAAACAGTGATATTGTGGAATTATCACAATATTTTAAAAAGTCATTTATTTTTGTGATGTCAAAACAGAATTTTCAATACCCATTACTTCAGTCTTCAGTGTCACATGATCCTTTAGAAATCATTCTAATATGCTGACCAATCAGAATTGATTATGCCAGAATATTCAAATCAAAAGAAACCGAATCCGATTTGATTGGAGCAGCTGTTTTTGCTGGAAAATCCAATTTTAGATGGCTACTGTGTTTTGGAACATGGTAACTGGTTTCTAGCCGGTCACTAGCTTGCAAACCATCTGGAATCAGCAACCGACCAGCTACCAGCTGGTCACAGCAGTCAGTCAGTTTAGGAGGTAAGGATTGTTTTTGGAACATTAATAACCTGCTTGGACCAGCTAATGATGAGTTTAGACAGCTACCATGTTTCAAAACACAGTTACCGGCTTAAGATGGATTTTCCAATAGGCGTCTCTGTAGATCATTCTTGTCAATCAACAGCTTTTAAAATTTCCAACAATCAATCTGTCAGTAAGATTAGAGAGACAAAAGCAATTTGTGAGGAGCACGAGACAAGAGTCTTAATCAAACGTGTCCAGACAGAAGAATGGGGATATAAGAATGACATGTTTTCCAAGAGACAGAAAACAGCAGGAAGTTTACAGTACTGCATGTCTTACATCTTTTTTTTTTTCTGTGAGGATTATATAACTTACTACCAGTGGCCGGAAATACGAAAATAATTTGGCAGGACAAATAAGACAGATACTACGTCAACAGCATCTCTCATGTTTGTGTGCAGTTTAAACAGTAAGAACATGAAGGGTCCTGTCAAAGCTGGGAGAAAGAGAGGGATAAATAGAGAGAGACATCAAGAATTGCAATGCGAGCTGACTATTAGATGAATTTTTCTGCGCTGTCCCAATGGTGAAGTCATGATGTGGACAGACAAATTGCAGGTTTCCTGTGCATTTGCTGACTTCATCAGCAAAGGTCTGTTATTTTGGTTACTGTGTATAAACAGCCACAATAAAATAAACAACCTGAATTGCGTTGCATAAATCCTCTATCCTCCACAACACAGAGACAGCTTGACAAGCAGAAATGTTAATACTGGAGGTAAATTGTTTCATTCAGTAAAAATCCATCCATTAGTGCTAATATTTCTAAAATCTCCCTAATGTTAACACTGAATCGACTCCCCTCTGGCTATCCTCCCAGAATGTGTTAAAAAACAAAACTAATGAGCACTGAAATTTCCTTTACTCCAGATAATTCCCCAAAAACTCTGCTGTCAGCTTTGTATGTTTTCGTGCCATGATGATAACAGGCCGACAAGATATGTTGGACAAGCTTTTGGAGAAAAAGAGATCTATAAAGTATAAGATGCTAATTATTTTTTTTTTGATCCAGGTCATTAATAATTATAGTTTTTGAAACTGCTCTACAACAGTTCTCTCCAAACTACTTGTCTGTGTTTGAGACAGACTGTTACACCGTGTCTAGTCCACACCAGGCGAGAGGGGCTCGACGCAATGCGACACAAGCAAATAGAACCTTTATATTCAGTGATGCGGTCTACACTAGATGCGGCAATACAACAAATTCCTGTCAGTAAACTGATGCTCTGTTCCATTTCTG